AACCAACAAGGCAGCCATAAGCCACATGTGGACAGTAAGATTTAAATTAACAAAAATAAAAAATTCAGTTCCTCAGGACCAGTCACATTTCAGGTACTCAGCTCAATAGCCACATTATGGCTATAGCCACATTATGGCAAAACAAGGCAAAAGGGACAGGTTTGGGGAGAGGCAGTCACAAGTTCTACTTGTTGAAGTTTGAGTAACCTCTGAGACATCCAAGCAAATAATACTTTGAATTGAAATGTTATAAGTGACGGTCACATGCAGGAGGGAATGGAAGTTACTGTTCTCTAGCTAAAATACGGAAAAAACAGTAAGAAAATAAAGATACAGTGGAAAACTTGTGGCTCAGACATCTTCCTATCTCTCATAAATAACTCCTTACATCAACATATTTTCTGCCACAATAAAAATGTTTATATCAACATGGTCATCTGTGTGGATTGCTGACATTCCATCCTAAAACTCACCCTTCAGAGAAAATAGGGATTTGTCATCTCTCAGTGTACACATTATGTTCCACCTTGCTCTCAACTCTATTATTTGGACATATTTTGAAGTACTTCTAATTTTTCTATACTAGGCTACTATCACATGAATGTACAGAAAATCTTACTGTTAGGCCGATTCTCAGACTATTAGAACAGTAGAGCCAATAAAATCCAGATTCAATTATCATTTATTAAGTTCTAGGTTCTTTGAAATACATTTTACATATATATCACTTCCCAAAGAAAGCTAAATTGTTACCACTGCCAGATATTCTCTCAAGTTAAAAGTAGACAACTTTTAAAGTTTAAAAAACTTGTAAATTAACTAGGCTTGGAAATGCTAAGTTTTAAACACACAGAAAATCCACTTCACAAAGTTAAAAGCCTTCAAACTTTTTCCTTCAGTTTTCTTTCAAAAATATTCTAAAATGTTATAGCCATTAAAAAAAAAATCAAAGATATTCAGAAAAATCCAAAGAGAGCAACTAGTTTCAGCCATGGCTGCCAAGGTGTCCACAGAACAGGATTTTTTAACTTTGGTACTACTGACATTTTGGGCCAGAAAATTCTAAGGTGGGAACATACTGTGCACTGTAGGACTTTAGAAGCATACCAGGCCTCTAACCACTAGATGCCAGTAGTGCCTTTCTATACCCAACTGTAACAACCAAAAATATCTTCAGATGTGGTCAGATGTCCCTTAAGGGGCAAAAATCACTTCCAGTTGAGAACCACTGCCCTAATGCATCATTTCTCAAATAGTATTCTGTGAAACGTAGCTCCTTAGAGGTTCAAATAAACTTGGGTGAACCTTCTTTTCTTGGACAGTTTCAAATTAAGGGAGGTGGGAAATTTTGCAGTGAAGAAAACATCTAGATATTATTTCTCAAACTCAAACTATTTGGAAAACATACTATCCTAGAAGGAAAAAAGGGAAAATGTTCTCAAAAGGTCTTATTGTTGTAATTTGACATCTCTAGGCATGGTCTAATAATAATATAGGGCTTCCAATCTTTCATTACAGCCAAAGG